CCCCATGACAGGGAGGACATGCTGAGCGGCAGCTAACAACCCTTGTGGTGGCCCTGGCTGGGATCTAGGGCATGAGGGAGTGTCCGAGTGCTGCCAGGCCTTGGTGACAAATGTCCCGGTAAGGTCCCATCACCATTCTTCTGGGACCCCGCGTCGTGGAGCACACCAAAGCAACACGCCGAAGCCTGGCGCAGGGTCCGAGGCAAGAGCCTGGTGCCACAGAGGGGACAGACGAAGAGGAGAAAAATCACCATGTCCTTGGGCTTGCCCGGCACGTAACTCCTTCCCCAGTGATCAGAGGGACCACAGCCATCTCCCAGGGTGTAGTGGGCCATGGGAGGAAGGAGGACCCGACACCACCTCTCCAGGACTCTGGAGAAGGGCTACAGCCCATCAGCTCTGTCCTGCATGGCTGCCTTGGGCTGCCCTTCTCAACAGAACTCCACAAACCTTCCAGCCTGGCCACCAGGAAGCAAAGAGGGAAACAATAAACACAGCGGGATCCTGCTTTTTCCTTAGCCTACGTTCAGCTCGGCACCTTTCCCCAGGCTCGCCCACGCTGACCCAGTCCTGCCCCATCCCACTCCCCACCAAGGGCTGCTGGCACATGCCGTGCCCGGCCCGTGGAGCTCCAGCAGAGCCAGCCCCAGGGAATGTCCCCGGCTTTGAAGCAGACCGGGATTTTTACCCAGATGGTTTGCTTCCTTTTTCTTCCAAGGGCTTTGGTTTTGTGGGGTGGGCCAAGGCCAGCTCTTGGGGCTGCTGGACGCAGGCAACCCCGGTGGGGTTGAGGTCATACCAGGTGCCTTCCCCCAGCTCCCTTCCATCGTCTTTCCCCAACTGCAGAACCACCCGTGAGCATGCGAGTGAGTGGACATGTTAGGTGTCTGCTACCACCCCCGACAGCATAATTTGCTCACTGGTAAGGGCCCAGAGGCAGGGAGAAAATCTCCCAAATCGGGGGCCATCGATGGCCAAGCAAATGGTGTTCTCGCCAGTGCTGCCCTGGAGGCCTCTAGCATCTCCAGCAAGGTGGCCAGGTGGGAAGGTTGGGAGATACCAGGGTGCTGGGAGCTCCAGCCAGGGTGGACTGTCCTTCTCCCTGAGCACAGCCAGCATCAGCCCCTCTGCAGCAGGGAAGAACAACCAAGAAATGACCAATTGGCTTCACTGTTTCCTGGATTTCAAGGCAAGAAATGTCTCCTGGAGACATCTGTCCCTGCCTGTATGTTGCTGGCCCTGTTGAGCCCCAGCACTGCAGTGAGGCTACATTTTGGGAGAGACGAAGCTATGCGCAGCGGCAGAGCTCCTCCAGGTCAAGAGAAAGTGATCCCAATGGATGTCCCCAAAGAGCCCAACCACAAAGGAAAAGGCATCCCTTGCCCGAGGGGCAGCTGGCAGCAGGTCTGCAGCATCCCCCATGCAAGTCAACCAGTGACTTGCCTGTTCCCCTGCGGCGCGGGTACCAGCAGGATGGGAACTGTCACGGTGACTCTGCATGCCCCAGACATTAGAAAATGGACAGGAAAATGCAATCAAAAAAGGGAAGCAGAAAGAGGGTGGACAGGACTGGGCAGGTCCCATGCTGCAGTCAGCCTGGCGCAAGCCTCGGCTCGCCTGTCCCCGCTGCGCAGCTCACACCGCCGCGCGTGGGCTGCTTGATCTTGTCGGCAGCAGGACTTGGGGTGCTGTGCCACAACCCTTCAAACCCCCCAGCCCTGGGGACCACCCGGGGACAAGGAGGAGGAGGAACCTACCTGCTGCACCATGTCCTCCACTCCGGGCTGTTTTCTGCTGCTGCCGTCTCTTCCCAACTCGTCAGCCTGTTCATGCAGACTCAGGCTCCCGTGAATATCCGACACTTCATCTGCTGACCCCAGTCCGGTCTCCTCCAGGCAGATGCTGGCTCCTTCCTGCACCAGCTCTCCCGGGATGCTGGGACTTGACCCTCCCAGCACCCGATGGCTCAGGAGCTTCCTCTGGCGGCTCACGCTCCCAGGAGCGGTGCCGGCATCCTGCAGCGAGCCTGCCACGCCGGACCCCTTGCCCGCCCGCCTGCTGTCGCGAGTGCCAGAGCTGGCCGGTGTGTTCGGGGCTGGGGTAGTGGAGTGGCTCTGCTCCCCACCCTTGCTGCTCTGGGCGCCCTTCTGGACGGCTCCGTTCCGCAGGCCACCCGCGGGGACAGTCCCATTGTGAGCCCGCTCCCTCTGGAGCCGGTCGCTGCTGTGCTCCAGCTCCTCCGTGCTTGGCTCCCGGCTGCCGTCGGGCAGGGGAACGTCCTGCTGCTCATGGAAAGTGGGTTTCTTCCCGATGTGTGTGACACGAAACCTAGAATGGAGGCAGGATGGATCACAATCCCTTCCCTTCTCTCTCCCAGCTGTATTTCCAGCTTGCCTGCAGCTCCAACCTCTGTTCTTCTCTCTTTGTCATGGGCTGGTGCTGATCTCCAATCTTGCAGACACAGTCAACACCACTGATCCCCACTCTAGCCATGCCCCCGCTGACTTAACCCCATTTTCCCCTTCATTTTTGGCAAAACAAATAGAAGAATGAAAAGGTCAGTCGAGATGGTGGCTGGTGCAGACCCTGTCAGCCTGTCCTCCTTGCAGCAAGATGGGTCACAGCTTTTAGAAATGCTCCAAGATGCAACCTGGGACGAACAGGAGCTTGTACAGAAACTCAGGTGTTGCTTCAGAAGGTGAAATGCAAACGGTCTGAGCCTGGTGAGGAAGGGGTGGGCATGCCATATGGATGTTGCACCCAGTGACCAACCACCATCAGGGGAACAAGAGCCAGAGTTTTTGGCAGGCAGTACACCCTAAGTGAAGGCAGGGACAGGGTTTTAGTAGGGCAAGCTATATTTGGCTAGAGCGATCAAAATCCAGGAGGAGCTGTTTGGCTAAAATCTGCCAGAGTGCCTTGTGCACCATCCCCTGGAGTGATGGATGGTACCTACATGGTTCACCAAGACTCCACCATGTACTGGGTAACAGCTGAGAGCTCCAGGGTAGGCAGGAGAACAACTGCATAAGTTGGTTTGACACCCACAAAAGGTGCATTTATAATCAGAGGTGATGCAATATTGCACCTGGGGAGAAGAGAGAAGTTAGGGATCTACCATAACTTTGGTATTTGTGAGGGGTAATGCGTAGGCAAAGCCTAAAAGTCTGAACTGCAAGTGAGCTGGTTGTGACTAATGCTGTGATTCCTATTCGTAAGCAATGCAAGCCACTGCTGGACCAGCAGATGGGAAACCTCTTCCACGATGAGCTGGTGTCCACCAGCCAAAGAACATGGATCCCACCACAGAGACTTCATACAGCCCATGACTCACCCAGCAACCGCTCTCCCTGCGGTTGAGTCACACGCGGAGAAGCTACAGATGGTCCTGGTTCTGCTGAGGTTCAGCTGCAATTTCAGCAGCAAAGTTCAAGCACTGCTGGGTTTGAAAGAAGAACAAGACCCAAAGGTCAAGCAAACGGCAGTATGGCCATCCTGAAGGAAGAAGTTGAGAAGGTCCAAGATACAAGAACAGATCCCAGACAGGAAGCCAAAGATGAAGATGGCTGCCGCCAGACTGAGAATTGGGCTACAGTCAGTGGACAATATAGACCCCTCAGCACTGCAGCCAGAAGTGCTGCTTAGAAGTGGAAGGTTCAGGAGGAGAAGTGCTCCAGCTCTGCATGAGGTACCCACAGGACTGCTTGGGTCAGGCCATGCAGCAGCAGATGTGACCTTTCAGATCTATCCAGATATTTGGAGACACGGCACCAAGACTGCGAGCTGGGAAGACCAGAGAACATTCCAGCCTCAAAGAGGGATGGGGAGGAGGCACGAGTGGCAGGACCATTTCTTAGTAATGCTATTGAGCAATGTCAGCCTGGAAGAGCTGGGAACGGATTCAAAGGAGCAGGCAGGGTTTGGACTGGAGGGGGCATAAGAGGTAAAGTAACCAACCTCTGGATGGAAAGGCAGGAGAGCGTTGACTGTCTGCCTAGTCAGCATCACTAAGGCGTCTAGTTCAATAGGACATGGCACGCTGCAGCTGATCAGGCTAAGGACAGAGGGTCAGATGCAGATGCTTTGGTGGACGAGCTCTGCCACTGACAACTGGCTTAGGGAAAGCACTAAGATAGACATTAAATCATTGAATAATCACAGAATCGTTAAGGTTGGAAAAGACCTTTAAGATCATCAAGTCCAACCATCAACCCAACACCACCATACCCACTAAACCATGTCCTTAAGTGCCACGTCTACACCTTTTTTGAATACTTCCAGTGATGGTGACTCCACCACCACCCTGGGAAGCCTCTTCCAATGTTTAATCACTCTCTCAGTAAAGAAATTTTTCCTAATATCTAGTCTAATACGAGAGTACAGATAATATAACCCTGATTACCTCAGAAGTAAAGAATAATTTAGGTGGCAAAAGCCCCTGGGAGGACTCCAGTCCTCTGCTCAAAACTGGGCCACCTCCCAACCTCAATCAGGTTGCCCAGGACCCCGTCCAGTCAGGTTCTGGAGATCTTCAAGGATGGAGATCCCTCCACTCCTCTGGGTCCTGTCCCAGGCCTGCACCATTCTCAGGATGATAGTTTTTCCTTAAGTCTTATCCGTATTTCTCTTGTGGCAACCTGTGGCCGTTGCCTCTTGCCCTTCCCTGTGCACCTCTGAGAAGAGTCTAGCTCCAATCTTCATTTAAACTCCCCCACACTTTTTAGTTTGAGAGAGCAATTAGATCCCCCCTGAGACTTCTCCAAGCTAAACAAACCCTGTTCCCCCAGCAGCTCCTCACATGCCACATGCTGCAGCCCCTGATGATCTTGGTGGGCCTCCATTGATCTCACTCCTTTCCACTCCTTTAGCAATGAGCCTGTGCCTACCAGCTGGGGACCGGACTCAGTTAATGAGCTGTAGGTAATAGGGAAGGGGGATGGACTCTCAATCACTGTGTCCAAAACCAATAGCAAAAAAAAAAAGAAAGAGAGAGGAACAAGACCTGAGGATTATGACAGAAGAGCTGAGCTAAAGGAGCTTTTGTATGTAGGATCAGTCATGAATCGAGGTGCTTTGTGCAATGAAGATATTCACAGTAAACAAGACACAGCAAGGGCAGTCCCAGAAAAGACATCCAGGATCTGAAAGAGCAAAGGGGCCAGCTTGGAAACGAGAACCAGAATTTGGAGGTAGTTGTGTACCTCATGGGCACACAGGCCTCTTAGCAGTTGGACCTCACACAAGGAGATTCGGGAAGCAGAAACTTTTAAAAAATAACCTTGGAGAAATGTAATGACTGTCCCGTGGAGAAGGCTGATGTGACATTGGATATTAACTGTAAAGAGAGGAAACCAGGATTTGCAGGGAAGTACCTTAGAAGACCACCTTCTCCAGCACTCAGAGGTGAGTGAGAGGAGACTGGGAAGAGCATGGACAAAGGACACAGAGGAGTGGATGGAGCTGGGTACTGGACAGGGAATGAAATTAGCCGTGAATATGCAATTGTGCAGAGATCTGGCTTACCAAACACCACCCTTTAAACAAAGGACAGCTGACAGCAACGGGCAAAGAGGAAGCCAGAAGCTGTCTTTCTCCAAAAGGTGTGATCTTAGCTGGAGTTCAGCGTGAGGAGGTCTGGCATGTCTCTCCCCTTTACCAGCTCCCCATAAAGCCCCCAGTTCACCTCCCTGCTGAGACTTCTGGCTGTGATGGTGGAGAAACCCACACCCCCGATGCCCACCCTGGCTCACCGTGAAAGGACTGCCTCTCTGGACCACAACATGGAGCTTCATCAAGGCTTAGGCCCTGAACGAAGACCTGCTGTGGGATCTGAGCACAGTGGAGCTTTGTGTCTCGCCGGGGTGGCCATCCAGGGACCACCCCTTGTTGCTTGTCACCCTGCCCCAGTCACCGCGGTGGTATGGAGCTGAGCCCTGGAAGACTTTGCGAAAGGTCCTGTGCATGCTTTCTGCTGGGGAATGGGGCAACCTGGGCAAGCCTGCAGGTAGTACTAAAGGTTACCAAGAGCACAGGCAGCTCAGGAAGTCCCCTGAGGTGAGACCAGGTAGGGACTGGAAGAGTATTTGTTGGAAGTATTTGGTACACTCCCCTATTCCCATATTCTTCCTGTGGCATTTAATTACAGTCATCACTGGAGGCACCGACCTGGAGGAGCATAGCCACTCTGTCATTCTGAAGGTGGTGGCTGGTAACTTGCACCTGGGACCTGCTGTCACCTCCTCCCCCTCCTAATGATATCCCTAAAACTGGGGTCACTGCCCCTGTTGGGCAGCAAGAGACCTGCTCGCACGTAGCTGGGGCAGCAGGCTTTGAAAGGATGTGGATTTGGGGCTCTGCCCAGCCCTGAGTCAGCAGGACAAGCCAGGCTTGAGTCACCTTCCCAGAGAAGGAGGAGGGAAGCCACCGGTGCGTCATGGCCTGCCACATACCACAGGCATTTCCAGGTGCAGGAGGCACCTGGATCCTCAGGACTCCCAGCTGCGGAGCTACTACTGGGGCATCTAAATGGGGAAGAGCAAGAGGGTCCTGGTGTGGGGAAAGTGGGGGAGGGAATAGGGGAACTTAGAAGACTCTCAGCAATGCTTGGTCCATCAGAGCAGATGGGCCATGTCTGGCAAAACTCATTTAAGTACCTGCCCACTGAGAAGACAGTGGTCTCTCCAGGATGCATCCTGCCTTTACCATCCTTGGACCGTCCTTGCCGATGCAGTGGGTGCCTCTTCCTCTTGCTGCAGTGGATGCAGGGGGCCTGTGTGGAGCCCAGATGCACTGTGTGGTGATGTGGTGGGCCCCCATCCTGGCTGTTACGGTGAGGGCAAAGGCTGCAATAGGAGAAGGACATGACAGGTCATGTTACCTGGAGAAGTCATCCCAACCTTGGTGCAGACTCCCTGCGGCAAGCCCCGAGAAGCAGCAGCTCTGTGAGGACAGGAATGAGAAGGGCTATTCAATACCCCTGGCCGTGGAGTGAAGCACTCATTGCAGCCCTCAGGGGAGCAGGACTTACTGTTGGGAAGGTGGTTTGTAACAAGCTGGAAAGGGGCTGGCTGCAGAGTCCGCAGGGCAAGGTGATACCCAAAAGCTGCTTCTCCCTTACTCTGCAAGAGCCACTGGCCGGTATAGGCTTCCCTCACCTGGGCACTGGCACTGGGATGTCGCCTTCGTTGTCCCCCAGCATCTCCTTGAGGGCCTCCGCATTTGCTGAAGAGAGAGGAAAAAGGGAATGTGTCAGCCAAAGCAGTCAGCAAGTCTCCGGGACAGCCCTAGGAAATGCTCACCTTCATTTTGGATGATGCATCTCACAATCTTCTCCACGGTGTCCTCGTTCAGCTCCTCCTCTTCATCTGGAAAGAGAAAACGTGGCACTGAGGGCTGGGAATCGGACACTCACCTCGCCAGTCCATCCCCAGGAGCAGCCACCATCGATAGAGAGGTCAGAGAAGCCTTGTGACCCCCATCATGCCAGGAAGCCCCTGGGGAACACCAGATCCCTCGCCCTGGAAAAGAAATGGCTAAAACAGCAGCCATGTGTGCAGGGAGAGGGGGCTGTGTTGCTCCTTCAGAACTGAGGAGCATCACATGAAATGAGGGGGAAGCAGATTCAAGAAAAGTTGAAAGAGAAGGCTCCTCGTGGGGACGGTCCAGCCCTGGAGCTCCTGGGTGCAGGATGCTGCGGGTGCTAAAAGACTCCAAGGGCAAATGGGACAAGTTCCCAGAAAAGAAACCCGCTGGGTCCTATTAAATACAGAGAAACCATCTCTGATGGAGAAAGCCCCGGAGCTACACGCTGTTAGAAGCTTAAAATAGTATGCTGGGGAAACTTGGCTCGGTGTCTGCTCTGTTGTGGTATTCATCCCCAGCATTCGTCGCAACCTGCTTCTGGCCACTGTTGGAGGCAAGAGGCTTGGCTGGCTGGACCTTCAGCCCAGTCTGTAGTGTTGTATGTTCCTGTGAGCAGGTCAGAGTTGTGGTCTGGTGGGCAGCTGCCTCAAAAAGCATGGTCAGGGGCTGCCTCTGCGCTCCTGGAAGCCCACAGAGATGTTTCCCTGGGCTGTGGCAACTTCAGCGGGCAAAGCCAATCCTGCAAGGTTCAGACTCTGTCTCCATGGTCAAGTCATCGAAGCCAGAGGAGCATATCCAAGGATGCTTGGAAGCTCCCGCTGCATCCGTGGGCAAGCTGAGGGAGCCATGTTTCCCTCCCATGCATAAGAAGTGGCAGCGGGAGGTGCTGACCCTCCCAAGTGCTGCCCATGGCATAGAGGAGCCAGGGAAGTTACGTAGCACCACTTGATTGTTTTCAGGCAAGGGAGCAGCCAGAGGAATGAGTCTTCCCCATTTCAGCAGAGACTCATGAAAGCACTAAATGACAGAGCTTGCTTGGACTGAGCTTGGACCGCAACATCGAGCTTGCGCCCCACACTTGATGCTGCGGTGACTTCCCAATCCTACTGCCCCAGAGCTGCTTACGATGGCCTGAAGTGATGGAAAAACCCCTAAAGGTCCCCTTTGTCCCCATGGACTAGAAGAGCACATGACTGATGGCAAACACCACGCCGGACTCCTAACACCAAAGGGGCAGAGGGAGAGCTCATGCCCTGGCTGGGGATGCTTTCCTTGTAGGCGACACAGGTTATAATTCAGGCGCTGGGGTTTCAGCAGGTCCTGGCTGTTGATCAGAATTATCTTTTGGTGATAACGCCACTTTGGGAAGGGCCAAATGCTGGCTCCCACCTCCCTGGCACCACCAGCCTTCACCAGCCTGCGGAGCCAGTAGATCGGAGGGTTCTCCGGGCTGCATGCTCCTGATCCCCGGTGAACACCGCGCTGCTCTCGCCACCCCATCCCTTTTTCCCAACCCAGCGGCACATGATGGGTAACCCTCCCAGCTCACATCCCAGAAACGTGTTTAAGGAGCACGTCAGCGCAAGGCAGCACCTAAGCCCCCGCTGACCCCCATCACCCCTGCACTCACTGGCCTGGAGCTCCGCCAGCACATCTTTGTTATCTGGGTCGAGCTCGTCCCGGAAAGTCCGGCACCGGTAACCCTTCTTCTTCAGGACATGGCAGACCAGGAAACCCACCAGCCCCATGATGAAGAAGACAAGGACAAGGAGGAAGACCATAGACAGGCTGTGCTGGGGGTCTGACTCCCCATCGTCGGTGCTGTTCTGGTCTGACATACGGATCTAGAAGGGGGAAGGTGGATCAGAGACCCTGGTGCTCACCCCCAGCCAGGCTCTCTGTGCCCATCCTCCTCCTCCTCCCGTCCGCCTTGGGCAAGAGCCAGCTCCCAGCTCC